TCTCTCTCTCTCTCTCTCTCTCTCTCTCTCTCTCTCTCTCTCTCTCTTTCTCTCTCTCTCACTCTACTTGGGCGAAGCCCCTCTAGCGACAGAGTGGATGTCCGCAACCACTCATTTCGAGAAATTTATAGCCCCGACGTGGTAAAGTTAGGGAAACTCTACTGTACCCCCACTACCGTTCTGAACAATGAACTCGGCAGGTACCACAAAAAATAGGATGTGTTACACACGCGTATGAAAAAGTGGAACTTTACGCACTAGTCACATAATATACTGTACCACTTCAAAATTCACAACATTTTTTTTATTCAAGGCGTTTGGTTGCAAGCTCATAATAGACTCTATATACGGGTTTACGGATGCTATAAGCGCAAATAAAGACACCAGCACTGGAGAATGGACGACGACTCTGACCAAGGATCTCATAAATCCAAAAGTTCGTTGACTATCGAAGTGACATTTCAACTTTAATTTCAATTTACTTCGAAAATACCTCGCAATCCAAGGCAGATAGCAATTTTTTTGTCAAAATTTCTTTGTAGCTCTCAGTTCGCTCTACAAAAAAGTTCATTACGAAAATTTTGCTATCTCTCTTGGATTCGGAGATATTCCTTGAAAACTCAGCCAAGGACTGAGTCGACTTGAATTTGATGTAATGACCGTTATTTTCAGTTCGAAGTGTATACACGCGGGGAAGATATAGCAAAAGGACAGCTGTGTGATTTTGAAAAAGAAGGTATAGAAGGAATGCTGGCTCTGATCATAACGATGGCTTTTGAGGAACGTATTTGTGAACTGATGAAGGTAAAGAGTCTTTACTGAAGACGATCATGACCAATTGAAGCCATTGAAAACTGAATAATAAGAAAATCACATGTCTAGGGAGACTGGAAGGCCAATTCTCAGCGGGAAATTTCTGACGACATCTGCGAAACGCTTCTGAAAAATACAAGTGAAGAACAAATATCCCTGGGAGTTGATATCAATGAAGGTGACGAAAACATCGCTGCTATCAATTTGATGGTGCGCTCCGCTAAGTGGAACCCGCGCAGTCGCGGATAAATGTCAATTAAAATTTCAAATATTTAATGTTACATACATTTAACTGGAAAACCCTTATCAAAGTGACTAAACAATTCTTGTGTGCTATTCCGCGAACTGGAATTCCTCACTATTTCACCAAAACATTATGACCTAAAAAACTTCGCGCCGTAAATTCTCAGTTGAAAAATTTTTCTGGACATTCTCAGGTACATTGACAGATACACGGAGAGAAAAATCTCTCGAAAATTAGTGTACCTTCTCACCAACGCATGGAACGTATCGAAGGGGGCACAAGAAAGTAGTGGGAGACACTGAAAAAGTGGTATCCCATACTGAAAAATTCATATGTGGCACCCTAATTTTTGTGAGTCGTGCACTAATTTTTCATGAGTTTTCCGTAGTTTCTCATGTGACTCTTCCGAAAAACTGGGTGAACAGCATATTCTATTTTCTCATTGATGAAATACACCAATTTTTAAGGAAGGTTCTTTTTACTTTTTAATGTATTGTTTTCTCAGTGTAGGGTGAACAGGCAGACAATTTCACCTTCTCATACATTATGAGATCGTTTCTTCTAGAACCGAATGTTCACGCACTCCCTATAATACATGACTTTGCATTGAAAAATAACCTCACAATTTAAACAAATAATCATCTGAATACCAAAATATGAATGACCATATGAAATCTGCTTGTACTTATGTATTTAATTTTTCTTTTGGCTGAATAAACTCGAGAAAGGTTTCCAGCAATAATCAAAAATAACAATTTCACCTTCTACTGAATATTTTATAAATAATAGAATGAAAACTACGGATTATTATCATTATCAATAATAACACTTATGTATTATCATGTGATGCAGTTTTTCTTCGAAATATCAACATTACAGCGGGAAAAAAAAATATTCGGGAGGTACAGTGCTGGGTGGCGTGGCGCTGCAATTTGTGAACCATCAATGACAAAGTGTCGTGGAGAAAAAAAAGAAGTTCTCTTCCGAAAGAGTCAGATGTGGGAAATAGCACAATATTTTCAGGAGGAGAATCACATCCCGAAGATTAAAAATCTATTTGGCCTTGTATTTCTTCACATAAAATAAAACAAAATTCACATGTTTTTATAAACTGGATGACAATTCTATATTCCTCCGGACCGTTCATGTATTGGTCATCTACCGTCCATCTATTGACCCTAGCCTCCAGTTATTGGAGATTTGTACGATATTCCACTTGTCTTTCATTTAATTATTCTTCTTTTCATTTTTTCCACTTCAAATTATTGTTTTTGGCTAATTCATGTATTCTTTCAGGTCTAGAACTCATTTTTTATTCATTTAGTTACTTCGTCGATTTTAAATCCTCTAATGAAGTTCAACATTTCCTTAACTGTCCAGTTATTGGCCCGTTCACGCCAGTCAGTTCCCTCAAGAAATGAATGCAATTGGAGTTAGGACGCGAGTTTTTTTAAGAATCATCAAAAACGGAAATTGATAATAAATCAACTGAGCTAACAAAATTGTGCATTTTAACTGAAAGTTAATGTGAATATTAGCTAGAAATTAATGTAGAAATTAGCTGAAAATTATCCTTTAAAATTGATAATCCCCTTCTGACTGAGAAGTCATGGCGCAAAGCGTTTCCCTCATTTCAGAACTTTTTTTACGCCTTTTAACTCCAACGTAGATAACCCACCACAATTAATTTAATGTTGGCAATGAAAATTGTTTTGCCCTACATGTTTAATCCCTAAGGTCGTCCCAAAAACAGTTCCAAGACTCTACCTAAATGAGTGAATACTCACCATTACTCAGATGTATCCATTATCCAATTCCAAAATTCATGTCTGTCTGGTCAATTTAGAGAGATCACTCGCAATTTCCCTCATACGCAAGGCATTGTGTGTTTCTCCAGTATAAAATCCAAGAGTTCGCTTGCTGAAAATATCACTCCCGACAGAATTGTTCAGCAAACTGGAGTAGGATGAAAAGTGTCAGTCTAATTCCCTTCATAGGTGAGAATAATATTTAATAATAGTATTTAACATATTTTTTTATATTTAACAATTTATATTCCGGCTAAAACAGGGTGATTGTGTTCACATGTTAGAAGAAATTTTCTTGTTCCTCTTTAAACATTTTAGTTGAAGCTTACACCGTAAAAAATCCCATATGGACTTCTTGGGAGATCATTCGGTGTTGAATTAACATTCAGGGGACACTATTGTGAGTTTTAAAAGTCGTGGGGTAATGGAGCGAGACTTTTCATACGTTGAAGATTGATTATATAGATCTGAAAACGTTAATTAGTGCAAAAAAAAATTTTTTTTATCGTTCCTTTGCCCGAAAACGCTTAAAATGCTAAAAACACTCTAGGGCCTCCAATTTTTGAGCTCCAAAAGATTTTTTTCAAAATTTTTGGAAAAATGTGTGGAACAACAATTACGAGCCAGTTTTTTGGAATTCGACTCCTATGCAGCTGATTTCGTTCTTTTTTTCATATAAAAAAATTCACTATTTGTGTAAAAAAATACAAAAAAGCGAATTTAGCCATGTAAGAGATGAATTAAACAAAAACTAGCTCATAATTGTTACTCCACATATTTTTCCGAAAATCTTGAAAAAAAAAATCATTCGTAGCTCAAAAATTGGAGGGTCCTGTTTTTTTTTGGCATTTCCCGGGATGAAAAAATGAGAGTCTTTGAGGGTCTGAGAGACTTGCGTCTGCGTCTCTCAAAGAGTATTGCTCAGCGCCAGTATACATACTTTTGAGAGACGCTTCGATTTAAGCGTTTTCGGGCAAACGAACAAAAAAATTTTTTTTCTTTGCACTAATTATTCGTTTTCAGATCTATATAATCGATCTTCAACGCATGAAAAGTCTCACTGTAATAACCTACGACTTTTAAAACTCACAGTAGTCTCCCCTTAAGTTTTTTACACTGTAGTCTCAATATAGTTGAACTCTTGTTTATTTCATTTCATCGTCGAGTTTGCCACTGACCACACAGGCCAACGCTAAATTGTTCATTAACTCATCTGTCAAACAATACACTTGAGAGTTCAATTAAAAAAACAAGTGGGAAGTTGCTCTTGTATTGCATATAGTATAGTTATTTTTGGCAATAAATTAGCATTTAGACGAGGTCTATAAATTGCATTTTCGGACTTTTTGGATTATACTGGGTCGATATCCTTTATAGAACAATCCGTGTCCGTAACAAAGGGTTTTCCTTTGGTTTCTATGCTCAAGTCCTTCTTCTTTTTCGGTGAACCATACATATAATGCACTCATTTGGAAGCTTATTAAATAAGCTTTAAAATTACACCTGATTTGTCCAATTCTGACAATTTTTTATTGATTTATGAGAGCTTTAGGCGAAAATTGCAATTTCATGTTGAACGTGAAAGATTGTTTTTGACTGGATTTTTCGATGCTCCTAAGTGGACAAGGCAGGGGTATCTGTACATCATTTTGAAGAGCATTTACTATTCTTCAAAATGGTGCATGGCAATTCTGATTCAATGGAATTTTCATCAAGTTATAGCAGAATGTTTCCATTTTTCACGTTATGTCACATGCCAAAAATGGCAGATATTGCCATATGGGGATGAATGTCATCGAGTTGTAATTCTGTAAATATTATTGAATGTATCCATTATTCCACGGAATCTAATTAGCGCGTCTTCTCTTAACACAAAAAATCCAAAACTTAAATTTGAAGTTTACAAAGCTTCTATTCGGAAGCAAAAATTTTCCTGAATATTTCAAGATATTTCTCTAACAATACAAATACATTATTAAGATATATAGAAAATCATATGTATTATAATTCTTTTAATAATATCATATTTTGTTCATAATGCACTGGTGTCAGAAAGCGTTGCGTCTATTTTTCAAAATGACAAAAAATCTTCGAAAAACTGAGAATATTTTTTTTTCATTCAGTGGGATTGATCGGCTACGATCAATGTGTCCGTGACTCCCCGGAATTATGGAAGCACGGCCCGGAGTACAGCTTCCGCTTCCAAGTGTCCGCATCGCTGTCAATGGAGCCGACCCACGAGGTGCGGTCCAACGTATCGGCAATCCTGAAATGTCGACCGTTCGCATCCGAGCATGACGGAATCAGCAATGCGCTCCGGTGTCACATAGGCAGTGCCGAAATCGATAACTACGAGACAAATAAATCGTCGATACCCGCAAAGATAGTGCGACCAGAACCCCCAGGACCTTTTGAAATTACCGGATTCACATTTGACATTATCTTTGGCAAAGCCCGAGTAAACGAGATAAGAATCCACCAAGCGACGAAAAATTATCGAATGAACATGTATCGAGATATGGTCAGCCAGCTTGGAATCGCATTTAATGGATTCGGCCAGGAAAAGGCGCGATTGACAGCGAGAGATTATGCGAGCTCAACTGTTGGTGAATGCGATACGAAATTCGAGGTGTTCAAAAGATTGAAATACCCCAAGAGAGAGTGGGATAGTCAGTGCAAAAAAATGCACTTGGAGATTTATGGAACCAATTATCCGTCCGTGATGATAGAGAAAACGAGAAATATGGATAATTGCACGAAAAAGACGCCCTATTTCTTCGGCGGGGAGGACGTTGCCTCGACGGCTCCTTTCCTCACAGCTGAAACGGTAATTATTTTCGAGTTTTTGGAAGGCCTCGGGAGCAAAGAAAGATAGTGAAACGCGGGGGCAACCTTGCGCCGTGAATTCTCAGACAAAAGAGGATGGAGAAGCCTGAAAGATGGTTCAGAAATTTGTTCACTTCACAGAAACCGGATGAAGCGAGTTGAGGGCGATCTGAGAGGGATAAATAATTTTAATAAATGTTTAAAAATGCGAAGTGGGCCCGCCGCCATCTATAAAACCCCTCCCTCTTCCGGAGAACTTTTTCCATTGACACAATTTCTGTGGAAATTTTTTGACATGAATTTCACAAATTTTTTTCACTCCATTTTTCTTCTGTTTTCATTTTTTTAAATCAACCGGAAAAACTTGAAGAATTTCAGTCGCGTAGTTTTCATAGAAAATATCTCAATAGACTGTATAGAAAAATCGAAGTCTATTAATTTCTTCAACAAAATATTTCTATTAAAAAAAACGCCCTGATAAGCTGCGAAATTTTTGATTAAAATCGGTCACAAACTACTATAATTCATAAAATAACGCGATATAATTATTTTCAGAATACATCCGTGAGTGGAATAATGATCGCCCCCCAGAGCTTCGAATCTCGAACAATCAGAACAGGAATTCTAACTGTCACGAAGTCCGAGCAGCTGAAGAAATTCCCGGTTCACGAGGAAATCAGTCTTCGTCTGATATCGATTGAGCCAGCATCCATGCGATTCCAAGAGTTGGAAGTCTACGGAATAACCGGACTTCTGGCTGACGATCTCATTATAACATCTAATGATGAAGTTTACAGATCGCCGAAATAATTCTCCCGGAACTTCAAGAAGCTCCAGTCAATAATCGACAATGATTCAATCATCTAGTTGAAAAACAGAATTATTTCCAATTATGGATTGACAGACATGCAATAATGAGCCATTGTAGCCGTGAGCGAGTATCAAAGATTAATTACAGTTCAGTCTGACCTTGAACCATCCCACAATATCCAGTGATGCAGAAAATTACCTACTTTGTACCACTCAACTCGAGGTGTTTACTCATCGCAATTTCCCCGTCCGTATCAGTCCGCGTCGCATCCGTCTGATGTAATCCTGTGGGTTTCGTTGTCAGAAGATTGTGCCACTCAGAGTTATCCCCCACTTTACCCAATCCCCACTCACATCCTTGTCTCCCACCCCTGAAAACCAAAGGCGCAATCGCCTCAGTCTGATCGTATCTCTCCGGCTGTGGTGAGCTCGACACCACAATTACCAGAAATAAATACTATGTAAGACGTATAGGCTGACGCGCCCGATTAACAGGTCTCGGGAGGGAAAAAAGAACTACTGAAGTGTGGGGACAAATTTGTGTCACGAATTCGCACCGAAATAGAACGGAAAAATCGAAAGATGTAACAGAATGCCGCTCATTTTCCAATTTTTTAAACAATTTTTCTGCTGAAAGTTAGCGATATTATTACAAATTCAAGCACATTAACCTCCAGGAAGCGATAATGAAGATCAATGTGCTTTGGGTTAAAAAAATGTTGATAACTTTGACCAGGAAATTTATTTGAAAATTTCGAGGAAGCGTGGCCTTCTGTTACCCCTTAACCCTCTGACTCGCAATCTTATCTCCACTACCTATGGGGGCCGGACGTTCGACGTAGAAGGGGATGAGTAGCGAGCGCACGAACAGTGCCGTACCACTAAACGCACGTTTGAATACATGAGTCCCAAATATAAAAATTTTTAAAAGGAATTTATTGGCAAATAGGATGAAACAAATTCAAGGAAGAAAAGAAGCAATTTAAAATAAACCATCTCATTGCTGTCAATCTCTAAATCATGCACAGGACTTCGATTTTCAATAAATGGTTGCACTGGATAAATTTCAATATTTGACGACCATTTTCGTTCTAGTTTTTCATCAATTTTTTTCTTTTTTTATCGCTCATTATTTGTTGTTTATCTATCAAAACTTCTATTACGTATTACGCGAGAATATGCAGAGGACCCCGATAGCTTTGGAACACTTGGAACAGTCCTGACACAACAGGAATGAGGAAATAGTCACATGACCATTTGTCATTAACAAATCACGTGGTACGCTCTGATTAGCGGCTATCATCCTGATATGGTTTCCTACGGTTCTCAAGTCAGAGGGTTAATGAAACGTTTAAAAATGCGAGGTGAAGGCGTCCCTAGCGATAGAGGAAGTGTATTCGAGCAAGATGGCGGTGTCCACTCCTGTCACTCACCTCGTATTTTTCAACATTCCTTAAAATTGTTTATTGTCTTCATATCACCTTCAACTTATTTAGTCCAGTTTCTAGAGAATGAACAAATTTATCAAACTATGCTCCAACATTTTTCTTCCTTTTTGACTGTAAATTCATGGTTTTCCCTCCATTTTAGTATTTTTTACTTCTGAGGAATCTTAAATATTATTTCCCCAGAAAGATTAATTTCTACAAAATTTTTTTTCACAAAATAGTTTCAATTGAACATTTTCTATTAAAAGAAATCGGCCAAAAACTACTAGAATTTTTAATAGAAATTCAACAGAAATCGATGGAATGTTCTATAAAATTCGCTAGATTTTTGTATGAGTTTTTTTCATGCGTATATTAATGACGATAAACCAACTAATCACAATATTGATAGAAGATAATCTTTCACATCACGCCTATAAAAATGGCGCTGACCCTGGAAATACTCCTCACCATAACGGCAATATTAACGGCATTATACTACTACCTAACGAGTACTTTCGACTACTGGAAATTCCGGGGAATCCCCGGACCGAAGCCGGTCCCGATATTCGGAACGATGAAGGAGATATTCCTCACTAGGATGAGCATGGGCACTTACGTAACCTCAATCTACCGAGACTATGCGGGAGAGCCTCTAGTGGGCATCTACCAGTCCCGCAGGCCAATGCTCGTGGTGAATGACCTCGAGTTGATAAAAAACATCATGATAAAGGACTTCAGCAAATTCGTGGATCGAGGTACCTCAGAGGATAAGTACGATCCGCTCTCCGCGAATTTAGTGAGCCTTGCTCCAGAAAAATGGCGGCCACTGAGGGCGAAATTGTCGCCAGTGTTCACTTCCGGAAAGCTGAAGGACATGTTCCATCTTCTTGTCCAGTGTTCAAACGAGTTCGAGAGGTATCTCGAGGGGATTAATTACGAATCAGTGGATATTAGGGACATCTGTGGAAAGTACACGACTGATGTGATTGGAGTTTGCGCATTTGGGCTTCAAGCGAACTCCATGAGGGATGGGGACAGTATCTTCAGGGTTATGGGGATGAGAATCTTCAATCCGAATTTCAAACAGCTGATGAAGGGAATTCTTCAGTTCAATTTTCCTACAGTTTATAATATTGTTGGACGGTATCTGCAGGATCATGAATTGATCAATTTCTTTCTTGACTTGACGAAGGATACGATGAATTACAGGAGGAAGAATCATTTGGTGAGACATGATTTTGTTGACTTGCTGATGAAGATCAAGGATGACAAAACGGTTGAGGATATTGGTGAGTTTTGGGTGATGGAAAAAATGGATAGAAATTTTTCCTAGAATTTTTTGTTCGCGAAGAATTAGTGGAAACTATTGGTTGGATTCCGAGAAACGAGAAATACGTGAGAAATTTTGCAATTTCATCATTTTGTCTATTGGATTTTCATTCATAGGAAGATGACAATGATGTCACACCTCTGTAAAAGAGATGGCGTTGACAGACAAGAGCTGTGGCATCATTTTTTTTTATCATAAGAAGTAAATAATTCGCCAAATTTCACTTCAATTTCGGCGATAACTTGTGTTGTGATTTGGAATCGTCAGGATATCGAAAATACCAATAAACGTTTAATAAAGAAATGTATTCACGAGTAAGTGATTACACTCGTGTCTCGCGTCGAACTGAGGTTAGCGTGGGCTAGCCACTGTTGCTAGGGCATCTGGTGCATGCGTGCCCATATCAAACAGTATGCGTAACATATATATATATATATATATATATATATATATAT